GTCCTGAGAGCCCTAGCACCGAGCTGTATGACCTCGAACTGGTGACCTCCCCCTGCTCGCTGCTTACCCCTCCTAGTTTTTCTCACTGTAAAATGAGAAATTTGGACTAAGTCTCCCCTAGTCATTTTCAAACAGTCTGTGCTCAGTCAGCAGAGGGCCACAGGCTGTGTCTTCAGTGTAGGGAGTGTGCAAGGCAGAGAAGTAGGGATGCTAGGAGGGAGACCGTACCCCAGATGGAGTCAAGTGGTCCCCATCTTGGTCCCTGGGTTTAGAACCTGGGCAGCAGGGTGAAATGACGTAGTGGGTAGGCTCTGGGTCAAGCAGACCTGAAGTCAGATCCCGACTGTCACTAACTGGCTGCCTACCCTGCCTACCTTGGCTAAGCCATGTAACGTCTTTTTGCCTCAGTTTCCCTCCCTTTCACATAGGTATCACAGTCCTGACCTCACAGGGTTGTGGGGAGGATTCAATGGCATGTAATAAGCTGAGTACTGTGAGCTGCTCATGGACGGTGGTTGGGTCGGGGACAGAAGGAGGACAGGGCTGAATCCCCCACACGCAGGGACTAATTAGCACACGGTCCCTTCCTTGCTCCAGCAGTGTGCTGGGTGAGGTCTTACTAAACCTACAGCAACCACATTTTCCAACCTTCGTCTAAAATAGGGCCTGGCAATGGGAAAGAGAATTAAAAATCAGAATTGTTCCACAAAGCCCAGGACGTGAGGCCACCATACTCCAGCCCTGTTCTTGGAATCCTGACAGGGGGTTGGCTTATCTCATCAAGATAAAGGCCGAGGGCCTCCTCCCATCAGTTAGGAAAGGACTTCTCTGGAACCAGCTTCCACCGTGGGCCAATAGACCCATCTTATCCCACCCCCGCTGTCTGTGACAGGGCCTCAGTGTGGGGAGTCCAATTCAGAGGTTGTCTCTGGTCCCTGTTCCCAAGCGACCTCTGCTGCCTTCCTTGGACGGTGGTTCTGCAACTCCCAGGTCAAGTGCTGCTCTTAACTGGGAAGACGGCGTTCTCTGTCCTTTGGGCAAAGGTACCATAGGTGGGCAGGGTGGTGTTGGTGAGAGGGCCACTGTTAGAAGCTTACCAGCAGTAGGGGTGAGTGAAGAAGGGGCATAAGCCCACCCAGGGCCCTGCTGTGGATCTTCCCACATCCTCTGATTGGTAGGGACCTGATAGTCGACTGGGTATTCTGGGGTGCCAAGCCAGTCAGGTGGCCAGTCCAGAGACCTTGGGCCAGGGGCCTGGGTCAGCCATTCATTCAGTCACTCATCAAACGCCTCCTCTATGCCCATGTCCGTGCCCAGCGCTAGAGTCGCAGAGTTGAATTCAGTCACGGTCTCTGCCCATGGGGAACTCATGGCCTGGCTCTCTGTTGGATCGGGAATCTTCTTGGAGAAGGATGCTCTCTAATTACTCATGCATTTCCTTTCCTGCTTACTCTGAAACCTAGATCAAGATGTGCTTCTGCCTCCTCCTCTGTCTTGGCCGGCTCTGCCAGCGAGCCTTGACTCCCCGGGGCCTAGCAGTGATGTCCCAGTGTGGTTCCATCCCTCTCCTTGTGTCCCCTCTCAGAGTCTCCCCTTGGGAAGTCCCACCCAGAGGGCTCTCTCGCCGTCATCCTCAGGAGGTCTCTGCCCGTGGGCAGTGCTGAGCACCACTTCGTCTTCTCTTCCTTTTCTAGTCTTTTCTTCCATGTTCTCTTTTTATGTCTGCTCTTCTTTCTCTCTTATCTTCTCTTCTGTTTTTCCCCTTCTTCTGCCTACCCTCCCCCACGCCCATCCAGGCCCTTCCACAGCTGGACACCCAGGTTCCCCGTTCAAGTGACTTCTCCCCAGCTAGCACAAGGCAAGGAGCGTCTTCCCTTCTTCCTCTGCCTGTTTTCTGCCTCTGCCTTTCCTCCTTTCCTGGACTTCTGCTTCTTGAACCTCTGATCCCAGGCTTCTCCCAACCACCTCTCCTCACTCCCTCTCACAATCTCCCCTTGCCTTCATCCTTTCCATCCTTCTCCAGCTGAAGGAAGGGTGCCACCCCTCCTCTGAAGAGAGCCTGCAAGAGCTTCTGGTCCCCATCCTCTATGGCTCCACTGCCCATGCCCTGTTTCTGCACCCCCACCCCCCACTCCCTCCAGAAGTTTCTTTGTGCTCCTTTGTCATTCATCATTACCGCTGCCTTTCCTGCCTCCTCATTGCCTTCTTCTTCCTCTGGGAGTTTCCTCAAGCCTCCTGTAGCCTCTCTTGGGGTTCTCTGCAGGCTCTCATCACACCACCTTGCTTTCCTGATCCTCCAGCACCTGCTTTCTCTCCCTCACCCCTGCGCCCTTCCTCCTCCTCTCCTTCCCTTTGCCCGCCTCCCGCTGCCACCTCTTCCAGTAGCAGGCTTCCCTTCGCCTTTCCGTCCTCCCTCCCCCTTCCACTGCTGCCTCTGTAACCTGTCTTATCACCAGGGCCTGAGTATACAATAAAATAAATAAATAAAAAGGTCAGTGAGTGGAGGGAGCAGCAATAACCCCTAAAACAGTACTATCAGTGGAACATGATTGATCAATTGAATTCCATAGCGGCTGAAAAATGTGGGATTAAGTAGTGTATTATACGCACAATGAGTTGAGGCATGATGTTCATTTCAAGTTCATTTCGCCGGCCTCTGCCACCAGATCAGGCAATCAATAGGGGCAGCAGATATCATATATCACCTCTCTGCGGGCTGGGGAGAGAGCACCATAATCTCTCGCAAATTTAGAGTGACAGATTTGTCAAGATCTGAAGGGCCCCTGAATAAATGAAGGAAAAGAGACTCCTCCAGCCAGTGACCTGAGGACAAAGCTTCAGTTCAGCCCCCATACACACACACACACACACACACACACACACACACACACACACACGGTGGAGTCAAGCCACACACAGGCTCAGACACACATCCACACAGGGGCACGCTGTGAGCCTTCCCACACATATGCACACACCCGGGCACTGAATGCGGGAGCACCTGCTCACAGACAAATGCACACCTTCCTTGCCGGGACCCATTTGGCGACACTGCAATAACCGCACACAAAGACACCGCCACCCCGCTCGGCCCGACAGCAGGGATTCCCAAAGAGGTTAGGAGGATTCCAGTGGGAGAGGGTTAGACACAATGAACACGCAAAGAGCTACAGGGGTGGGATCAGGAGGCACATCCTTGAAAGAAAAGCAGGCACAGAAGAAACACAGGGCACCTGAGCTCACGCTCCCCATGCGGTGAAACATGCATGTGTGCACACACGCGCGCGCGCACGTGTACTCGGAAAACAGCTCTCGTTCTGTCACTTACACAAACACCCACACGTACCTGTCTGGACGTTTACATGTGTACAAATGCGTATACACAGAGAATACCCACATGCAAGGAAAAACTAAGTGTGCCGCACCCTAACTTATGTAAGAGAGACACATGCAGTGTCTAAGACAAAATCATTCCAGAGGCTTGCACAGTAAAAAATACAACAACCAAGTTTTGTGCCCGTAGGAATGCAGGGAACATGGAAACCCCATGGAGGCTGGCCCTGTGTCTGTCTTTCCACCTCAGCCTTGATCCTGCCCTTCATTTCTCTCTCTTTCACATGCACGTGCGTGTGCGCGCACACGCGCACGCACACACACACACACTTTCTTTGCTTTCCCACCTCCTGAGGAATAGAGTACAGGGAAGGGAAGATAGCAGGTCCCATTTGGAAAGCAGACCCCATGATCCATCTGGGAGGCCAGAAGAGAGGATGGCTGCGGGTTGAGGTTAATCAATATGTAATATTTTCTATGGTCTCCCGAATGATACTGTACGGTGTTACTGTATATAATGCAATATTGATTATATCATATCGTATAATCACCTATAAACTGATATATATAATAGTCCCAGAGGAACACCCTGAGGCCTCCAGCATGTGCTGGCCCCAGGCCCAAGGCTCTTCTGTGGGTCTTGGGCTGAAGGAAGCCAAGGAGTGGCCACACTGGGGCTGGCGAGGACCCAACCTCGGCTTGGGGAGTTGCCACGTAGATGTTCACAGAGAGAGCCAGTGAGGAGACTCTTAGCTCACTGCGTGCTCTGGAAACTAACAGACAGGATGCAGGGGTGCAGGGATGGAGGGGGGAGGGGTAGCAGAAAGTCTGGGTAGAGCGGGACCTGGACAGAACTGGCCTGCAGCCCCAGGGAGCAGGCACGAGTGTGGCACCTCCGTGGCTTTTCCTTCACGGAGTGTCTCGGCTCTCTGTGACAACCACAGGAGGAGCCAGGCGCCCATGGGGCTGGCCCCTGTCAGAGGCCTGGCTGGAGTCCAGGTCGGAGACAGAGGCTGAGGAGGGCAGTCTGGGTATAGGAGCACATTCTGGGCACAAAGACACTGTCTTTAGTCTCTGTCCAAGGCGGGGTCTCACTCCTCACGTATCACCTGCTGTCCTCCTGCTCTGGTCTCTGTCCTGGCCCCACGAGAGCAGAATCCCTCAGCTTGACTTTCAGAGTCCCTCCTCCCTCGGTGGTGAAGTTAATTACTTCACCCAGTCTCCGTGTTACACTCAGCCTCGGAGATTTGATGATTTTCCACCCCTGGAGTCAGTGGAACTGAAATTCATCTCAGAGCCGAGTTCAATTCTCCACAGGCTCGGTAATGCTGGTCTGAGACACCCAGCTCCTCCCCCAGGCTGACCCAGGCCTGGGGACAGAAGGGGTTCTCGGAGACATTCCCTCAGGAGACCCCTTGGCTATAGCTCTGCCAAGTCCTTCCCACACCCCCGGCTGCCCACACTGGGACAACTTGCCTTTCTTTTCCCAGGGCCTTCAGAGGCTCTGGCTTCCCCAGCCAGATTTTGGAGGCATGGTCAGCCCCTGGGTCAGCTGCTCTAGCCTAGAAGCTGGGGGTGAGGGGTCCCAGCAGGGCTAGAAAGTCCCCTTGACCTACTATGCCTGTGCCAGCCTGCGCTGATGCCACCAGTGTCCATGTGTCCTCCAGATGTGTCCGAGGGCTCAGTCCCCAATGGAGACTCCCAGAGTGGCGTGGACAGTTTGCGGAAGCACTTGCGAGCGGACACCTTCACCCAGCAGCAGCTGGAAGCTTTGGATCGGGTCTTTGAGCGTCCTTCCTACCCCGACGTCTTCCAGGCATCAGAGCACATCAAATCAGAACAGGTGAGGAAGGAGCTTTTTTTTTTTTAATATTTTATTTATTTATTTGACAGTAAGAGAGAGCACAAGTAGGGGGAGCAGGCAGAGGGAGAAACAGGCTCCCCATTGAGCAGGGAGCCCAATATGGGGCTCCATCTCCGGACCCCGGGATTGTGACCTGAACTGAAGGCAGCAGCTTAATGACTGAGACACCCAGGCACCCCAGGAAGGAGCTTTCTGCTTGCAGAAGTGGACAGGGACGGGGCAGGACAAGGCATCTGAAAAACATGTGTACCCAGCATCACCCATGTGACATACAGGTATACCACATGCATGCCAAGTAGACATACTCACACCGAGACGCTATGGTAGTGTTCAGAAAAACCATTATGGTATATGGCAGTTAGAAATGATGAGTTCTGGGTGATAGGTCTTGGGTAAGTCTTGTTCCCTTTCAGAGCCTCAGTTTCCCCATCCGTAGAATGGAGGACTTGGGTAAGGTCTAATAGGTCGCTTCTGGCCCTGCCGTTCCATGCATGTGGCATAGAAGACCCAGGACACGTCCTTGTCCTCTTGCCATGTCCCTTGCCTAAATGCCTCAGAGGTCTTATAGAAAGTTTGGGCAAGACCAGGGTGCTCTTCTCGCCCTCGGGGCCTGCCTCCTGCTCCCAAGTCCAGCTGTCCAGTGTGACCTGAGGTCGGCTGATGGCCTACCCCTCTGCCCCCATACTTCGTCCAGATGCAGAACGGCCCTGTGCACCACACAGCCCACAACACACCCGCACAATACACAACGTAGACACATCTCCTAACTCCTCACATTTACCCTTGTGCACGTGTTTACACACCACCACAGGTACCTGCTCCCTCCCCCACTCACAGCTAACACTCCTGCTAGCACACGCCCCCCCACCCCATCTGCCAGAAGGGGGGCCTTCTCCCAGACCACAGCTTGGCACACCCCCAGCACCGGCCTCCACCCACACATCCAGAGGGGCTCCAGTGCACACACTCCCATTCCTCCCACACCTAAGGCCCTGGCCAGGCTCACAGCCACCGCACAACCCCGTCCGCTGGGCTTGCACGCGCACACGCACGCTCACGCGCTCTCACACCCGCGCAGCCCTACAGGCTCCACGCGGTGCGGTTCCGCTCTAGGACGCCAGAGGCTCCCAGCCACTCGCCTCTCTCTCCGCCCGTCCTTTTATCCCATAAGCTGTTTGTCTTCATAAAACAAAAATCAAAAGTCTTTTTAAGGTGCCCTGAGCCATAAACCAACAAAGGAGGAGCCGGCCGAGGCGGGCGGCTCGGTGCACCCTCCACGAGTCCCCGGCTGTATTACAATGAATAACCTTTATTTACTTTCATTAGACTATTAAACACCAGCACAGTCATTTTTCCCCCTGAAACTCGGAGCAGGGCCCATAAAGCAAATCCGAAGCCTAATTGAGTTCATTTTAATTTCTCTCCGATCACAGCGAATTACTCTGGTGATAAATCAGGGGGCAGCTTCACCCCCAGTAGAAGGCCTAATTTGCAGCTAATTACAAAACTGATTTCTACAGGAAGATCAATACGAGAAGGAATTGGAAATGACGAGGCAATCCCGGCCAGCCAGGGAGGGGAGGGGGCCCTCTGGGGGGGCCAGGAAGCGGAAGGGAAAAAAACGGACCCGAAAGAGCAGAAAATCAGTTTTAATTTAACGTAATATTAATCAGAGCAACTTTTCCGGCTTTGTGCAAGCTCCTGGTCGGCCCGGCTCTGGGGTCTGGCTGAGCAGTGACGGCAATAAAAAGGCAATTACCCGAGTGTTTCGGGCAGGACACCCTTTCAGAGGCAATGACTGGCCCCCTCCCACCCTTCTGTTAGCCATGTGGACTCTCCCCCTCCCCAATTTCATACCCCAGTGCACAGGCAGAGAGCGAGGGGCCCGTGGGGCTGTCTTTGTTTGTTTTTTAAAAAGGGGGCGCCAGCACCCGATCAGCCAGCCCAGCAGTGCCAGGCCCAAGGCCCCCCTGGGCCCTTCCCCCAGCTCCTGCCTCGGGGGGCCCATCAGGGTCAGCCCCTCCTCCCCAAGACTCCAGGGGGACCTGAGAACACCCCTTGCTTCTCAGCAGGGGGGCCCCAACTGCTACACTCCGCCCTTGGGGCTTTGTCGGCAGGAGAGGCTACAGCAGTTCAGAGAGGGCTGGGATCACCACCACCAACTATCCTCTAGCTACCCCCAGTTGGGTCTCCCCCACCCACACAAAACTCTCCGTCATCTGCTGAGCCCGCCCCTCCCTTGCTCCCCTCCCTCTGCCTGGCCATCTCCTTCGGCCCCATCTGGGAAGGCTCCCTGTCCCTCCCCCCCATCTGCACACTGAGCCCTCTCTCCACGTGTGCACATCAGTAGAGAGCTGTCGCTTTTCTCTCTTCTCCCAGGGGAATGAGTACTCCCTCCCAGCCCTGACCCCCGGGCTTGATGAAGTCAAGTCGAGTCTATCTGCATCCGCCAACCCCGAGCTGGGCAGCAACGTGTCAGGCACGCAGACATACCCTGTTGTGACCGGTAAGGAGGCTTCCAGAAGGTGGGGGGAGGCACTGATTTCAGTAAGGGCACCTCAGCCCATGCCATCTGGGGCCCAGTGGGACAAGTCGGCCCCTTGTCATGATATCTGCAGAGAGAGCGAGCCTCCGAAAACCAGGGTGCTTCCTGAACAGATGTGTGCAGATGTGAGGAGAAGAGATTGTGGTCAAGGTCTCTGTGTGCTTCCGCCTGGAAAGGTCGAAGCTAGGAGGAGCTCATGCTGGTTCCTTCTGCCCATCCTCTTGCCTCTCTCTTTGCCTTTTCTCTTGCCACCCCCAAGGTGCCCGGAATCAGATGCCTCTTGCTAGGATGTGCACAGAAGAGGGCAGAGGGTAAATAATTTAGGCCAGACTGGGGGGAGGAGGGCGGTGTCCAGCCTCCCTACTGCCATGCCTCCGAGGCTTCTCAGGGGTCCACCTTCCTCTCCTTCTAGGCAGCCTGGGGAGCTGCGGTTTGGGGCTTCAGGGCAGGGCCTCCACCTCCGTGGTTACAGAAAAGCACAATTATTCCAGTCGCACTCCCGCTTCCCAGAGAAATCACTGAGACTGAGGCTTGATTTCAAGGCCAGGCAGGGTCAGGCCTGTCCCACAGTCAAGTGCAGGGGAGAGGACATCTAATCCCGCTGCTCCCGTGGATTGGGAGCAGGAGAGGTGGCTGGAGGGGAAGCAGGCTGAGGTGTGGTGCAGCGAAGGACCCAGCCAAGGAAGCTCTAGGCCTCAGAGCTGCAGGCTAAGGAAGGCGCCTGGCACTGCAGAAGGGTTTCCGGGCCAGGAAAGTGCCCAAGTGGGAGAAACACACATTGAGGTGTTATTAAAATTCACCTAATTATTCTGGAGACACTAAAGCCAATGTGCCGTTTGTTCCTTGGGAGACAGAATGATTGAGAAGGGTCTCAGTGGGGATTGGGAGACACTGAGGCGTTACCTGCCGAGCGAGGCGTGTGGAGGCGGCCCGGGGACCCAGCGGCGGGCCTGTAGGCAGCCAGCGTCATAGCCGGTGGCAAAGGCAGGAAACAAGGCCCTGGTGCTGGTGTGGAAATGGTCTGAGCGGGGCTCAGGCCTGAGCTGGGCTGTGAGTGGCCATCCAGCTTCCACCTGCGGGCTTAGGAGGGCCTTGTCCTTAACCTTCCCAGGCTGTCCTCAAGACATGTCCTGGTACAGCTGTTTCTGGCCCAGACAGGGTTGAGCTCTTCAGCTAGGTGATCAGAGATGGAATTCTGGAAGTATCAGAGACCTGGACATTGCTTTTGGGAGTGACAACCTTGGCTGGGTCAGGGCATAGCCTATTACCAACTGGCCCTCGATAGGAGTCCTCCTTGGCCAACGTGGAAGCTCTCTGACCTGCTGGGTGTTCTGACCCAAGGCAGAGAGATGATACAGGCCAGGCCAACTTTCTGATCTGCTGAGAGTTTCAGTGGCCACTTCCTGAAGGTGGCCCAGCCCAGGCCAGGGACAAAAGAGAGCCCAGGAGACTTTTCCCTCATCCCAGCTGTGCTTCTCTGTGCCTGGGACCACACGGTCCAGAAGGCAGGAGCTCCCCGGGGTGGAGAGATGGATCTTCGGGTAGGGTTCCTGCTGCAGGAGAACTCGGGCTGGTACAGAAAAGTGCCTCCACCTTGAGCCTCCCCCGCCCACCTCCCCCCCATGGCCCTGGAACGGTCCCAGCTCAGCCTGGGAACATCTCCGGCTGATCCATCTGGATCCAAGTGTGAGAAAAGTTCATTTCAGACCCAGCTTGACATTCCCAGGTGGCAAGTTAGCACTAACATCTCAATCTGTATGCGACATTTCAATCAAGCGAGGAGTAACAAAAGCAGAACCATTAACATTCGGAGCTGTTCACCAGTGGTAATGACGGGAAACTCACTCAGAAACTGGAAATTACCAAAAAGAGAGAAGTGTGTGGAGAGGTGGGGGAGGGGAGGTGGGAGGAGGTGGGGGCAGGGAATGATTTTTCTACACTTAGGCCAAGATCCAATGTTTGGATTAATGGTGCCATTACCAAAGAGAGGGCTGCCGATTATGCTCATTCTTAAAATGTTTTTGCTGGCAATTAAACGGCTGGAGTTATTGATCTTTGTTGATTTTATGTCCTCCTAATTTGCATAATCTATTAAAGATGAATGATTCATGATGTGTTTATTATGGGGACAAACAGAATGTGCTGGAGGTACTACTGTCAAGGTGAGAAACGGGGCAGTGCCCAGAGACTTGATGGGCCACCTCGGGAGTGGGTCCAGCATGGTGGCCTTGGGGCCAGGACTTTATGGGTAGCAGTAAGCAGTGATGCAAGGACAGCAGACACAAGAAACTTGGACTTGGGCTAGGTTCTTCTAGAAAGATCTTGGCATCTGTGAAAACTTCAAGCACAGCTGGCATATGGGAGAGGCTTTGGGAATATTTGTAGACGTTCCCTTTGAAGATTCTTAAAAAGCATATTTTGTTGGAAAATATGAAGGACTTTGGTCAAGAAAGAAAAGGGGAGGCTCTTTCTGGGCAGGTGTGTGCTAACCGTGAGGGAGCAGGGAGGTCGTCTGTGTCCACAGCCTGGCTTGGGTGTGCTAAGGTGTTCCGGGCCCCGTCGTCATCCCCTGTGTCTCGGGCACCCGGCTCATCTTCCTCCCTGGGGACAGGCAGCTGAGGCTGTAAACCTTCAGGGATGAGTCCTGGGGAAACCGGCCCAGCAATGCCCTAGCCCAACCTGGAGAGCCGACCTTATTGATATTCCTGCCACCTCCTGGCACCAGAGGCTGATTTCAAACTTCACCAGCCACTTGATACAGCTGTTCCACAAGGTCAGGACTGAGAGGAGAGAGGAGCCCGGGCTATTGTGTGGAGGGGAGAGTGGGGCCCAGTGGGCCAGGACACAGCTAATCACATTGCAAGCAAGGCTGGCTGCCAGTGTCTGGGGCTTGGCCTGATAGTCTCCCCTCCCCACCTTCCATCTTGGAGCCAAGGAGAGAGACAGACTTTTCTGGGTGGTGTTTGCAAGTTCTGCCGAGATTTTAATTTCACTGCATCACAACTCAGCGAGCTGCCAAGTCAAGCTGGTTATTTAAATTTATCACCCACTTTCCCTTCCGCCGCTGGGCTGCTCGAGCTCAGTGGCATCTCTTCTCTCCAGCCCACTGCTCTAGGCTGCTGGTCTGGAACGGAGCCGAGTCTCTCCAAAGTGATAAGGAAAAGGGGACCAGCTAGAGGAGAGAGTGAGTTGGGGGTACTCTGGCCCCAGGCTGCCTCAGTTTGGCTGGTGGTGGCTGGTACCTTCTTCTATCAACTTCTTACCCTTCCAGAGGATCCCATGGGGGCTGTCATCAACCCCTCAGTAGTCCCAGGGACCTCTGGACCAGGACTTCAGTGAATACTCTTGCTCCAACTGGATGCTGGTGCCTTCAAGTCGCCCATCACTGGTAGAAAAGAGCTCTTCATCCCCATGACCTTCACCTTGGCCTCTCCCTTCCTGTGTCTGTCCAGGTCTTCAGCCATAGAGGAACATGAAGGGACACAGGCAGCCGTGTTGATCTGGGAGAAGATGAGTACTAGTTTCAGGATGCCCCAAGTCCCTTGGAGAGGCGCCTGAGCATTTAGAGGGTCCCTTGTCCTGGTGGAAGCACACAGTGAAGAGGAGCACAGGCTCCCTACCCTGGAGGCCACACAGAGCGAGACAGGGAGTATGTGGCAGCTCTCCACACTAACCCTAGCAGCCCAGGAATCCACCCGTCAGTCCCTGGAGCTGCTGCCCTGAGCAGGCTTCACTCGCCTCCGGTGGGCATCGCCACCGAGCGCTGGGAGAGCTTCGCGCGAGGGTAGTTCTTCCATCCTCCTTTTAGTCCCAGAGAGGTAGTGGAGGAATTGAGATCCATGTCCAGAAACAAGCGGGCTACACTCCCCAAAACCCAGCTGGATAAAAATGTAACAAGAATTGTCAACACACAACCAAACCTCATGCTCTGGTGCCAGAAGGAGAAGAAACTCAAAAGCCAGAGCAGTAGGTGAGAGCCCGAGGGTATCACCCTGGAGCTGGACCCTACCTGGGGGAGACTGCGGTTATAACACAGCAGACAGGAGCCACGACCTTGGGTCCAAAAGAAGCAGGAAGCCAGAAGTGAGGATCACCCTGCGTAAAGCCAGGAACAGAGCAAGACAATGCCGTGTGTGAAAGGGAAACACACAAATTATCCCAGTGGCCCAGGGAAGCAAGTGAGTGAAAAATCGTCTCCATGAAAAATGGAGTCCCCACTCCTGACCCTGGTTCAGGGTCCAAATTTATACCTGAGTATGTGGCAGGAACCCCCAGCCAAGACCTGACATAAAAAATTTGTCTAGGATAATAACCTACTCTGAAACCCCAGCAGGAACCAGGGCAAACCTTCTCTACAGAGACATTCCCGAACCTAGGGCACATGGAACCTCAGCAGTAAAGATGAGCTCACTACGAAAAATTACACCCCTCATGTAAATGCAAGCTATCATGAGGGGGAGTTAGCAGAAGCAAGAAATAGGACAATCAATACCCCTAAGAACTAGAGAGAATAGAACAGTCCAAAAGCAACTATAAAATAAGCATGTTTCATATTCCAAAAAAGATAACAGAAAAGCATCAGTTTTGTGTTTATCTCGGATCTAGATGCTTCATCCCCTCCGCAACCGCCCCCCCGCCCCCGGCAGCTCAGCCAATCTTCTGGTAATAAAAACCAAAAAGGCCAGGAAGGAAGACCACAGCTATATATAGCTTATTGTTTTGGGGTCCAGGAGCCTCAGGCGCAGCCCTGAGAGTAGAGCCTGTCCCCTGCTTATCCAAGCTCCCAGGCTCAAGTGTCAGCACAGAATCGTCCCTTTGGAAAAAAAGTCTGAACTTTGGAAAGCTAGGGACAAGGAAAACACAGTCCTCCTCAGTGAAAAAAAGAGCCTTCTTAGCTTCTCTACCCTCTGTGGATGGCAGTGGAGGGAGAAGGTGGTTTTATTCAAGCGTTTGGGAGAAAC